TTTTTGCACTATCTGGTAGGTTCTCTAGTCATTGAACACATTTAAAAAAATGCAAGCCAGGTACCATGGAAGCATGGCAGTCACCTCTGAGGAGCTTACAGTGAAGATGGGGAAATGAAACCATAGTTTGTGAAATAATGTGATGATGTATTACTGGTCTGTAAAATGAGAACAGATTGGAGAGTTATTTACAAGACTGGCAAACACTGACAAAATCATGATTTAATCACACCTTTTATTTTTTTGCTTTTTCAAAATTTTAGTTTTTGTATAGAAAAGATACTTTGTGACACAAGGAAGAAATCTTGTGAGCTAAAATTTAATTAAATTCAATTTTTAGAAAGGATTTAGCATGAATGTAGCATTTCGTATCAACAAGTCATAAAATAAAATTGCCTCATGTCCCTTTTGTAATGAAATGGATATAAATAGATATGTACGTTCATAGGACTAAATGAGAGTCAAATGGGAGATTATTGGATTATGTTATTTTGTATATAATTAGTTTAAAATAACATCTACTTTGATAAATGTAGGCTACTAAAAATAATTCCTTCTAAGTGATCAAATTAGATAATTCATTTAAAAAGACACAAAAAGCCTTTCCATTTTTTGTCAGAAGCAAGTTGTTTTAAAGTTTAAAACATGAGATGTATGTAAAGAATGTATCCCAATACTTTCCATCTAATAAATATCTGAAAAACATTGGCTGTTCATAAGAGAAAAGAAATAGAATAAATAGTGTGATTAGTTTGATGAAGACAGATAAGAAAAGCTTTTAAGTCACTCATCTTCTGGCTTTATCATTTCTTCTGCCTCTACTTAGAGACTTGATTTTTATTTCTAAGGAAGGACTAAGAAATAATGTTATGGCTCAGACATTTTAGTGAGACAGCTGAATCTCGTGTTCACATTTTATAAGAGCATCTACCGTGTTTGTTTACTGTACTTGTTCCCAATATCAGCACAGCTCCTCAGGGAGTTCCCCTGGCTTTCTGAGCTCAGTGACATGCAGTTTGTTAAGCAACCTGATCTGCTTTTGATCTCTCCTGGCTGTCAGCAGCTTTTTGATACAGTCATGCCAAATGATGATTTCTGTTCCAGTGCCTTTCTGGGTGGAAATTGTAGCACTTGCCACATGACTTAAATCAACTCAGCACTATAGAGTGTTGAGTAACTAAGTTACGGGGACCAGGCATGAATGCTTTCATGCAGTTTCTTCCCTGTATCCTCTACCCTTCCCCCACCTCTAATAGTTGAAAGTGTTTAAAATTCATTAACTCTGTCTTCAAGTTGAAGTAATGTCTGTGTCCAGAGACATATGGGAAAAACCAGTCTTTAAACTGGTTTATATTGATTTATATTTGTTTATACCAATTATATTTACAGTTGTAAATTTCTGATATTTGTTTTTTGTTTGAGGAAAGAAAAAATAGTATGAACTCAATTGAAATGCAACTAATAGTGTCTCTTAAAATAACTTTTTATTATAGTTTTAAAATGAATATCAGTTCAGCATAGGAACATCAGAAAATATTAAAAAATATAGAATAGAAAATGTTACCTGTACTCCTGCAGCTCAATGATAAATAACATTAATATTTTGATGTATTTTTGTCATATGTGTGTTGCACATGGATAGATTATACCATTGGAACCAGAATGCATATAATTTTTATAATTTTTGTTCATCCTATAGTCTCTGCTTTATAGTTGGATAATTCAATTTACATTCTGTCTACTTTCTGGTTTTATATTGTCTTGACAAACTGTTCAGTATTCTTTCCCGACTCCTCCAGTACATTTTGGAAGATATAAACAGTGTTTCTATTAATGTGTTGGCTGGTCTTATACGTTAACCTATATTCTTAATTTATATAATTTTATAGCAAGCTGTAATTTTATCTGGAACATTTATCTTCCCAAATAAGATGAACATTTAAAACATTCTAATAATTAAACTACCTTCTATCTTTGTTCTAGTGTTTTCCAGACATTTAGTCCTATTGTTTTTCTTTTAAAAACTACTAGTATTTTATAATCATTAGGTAATAACATTTGCTGATATATTTACTCAATCACTATGCTAACATTGTTATGTCCCATTTTTCCCCTTCTCATTTGGTTGTTCTCTCAGTAAGGATTGGTCAATGTTAAACTCTTAGTCTGAAAATGACGCTCCCAAAATTTTCCCCTTCAAATTTTGAATAATTTTCTTGGATATAGGATTCTAGATCAACTTATTTTTTATCATTATTTTGTAGAGAACATTTTTCTTCTGCCATCTCTTACCACTAACAAGTCAGTCTGTTTTTAATCTAATTGTCACTCTTTTGGATAACCTGTCTTTGGTGACTTTCATAATTTTCTTATTCTAATTCATTTTTGGCTTTTCTTTAATATGCGTAGTATCAATTTATTTTTTATTTATTTTATTTACTTAATTACATCTCTATTATTAGTGAAAACTTTCAGTTGGAAGACTAACATCTTCCTTAATGTCTTAGGAATTCTCATTTTTTTCTTCTTTTCCTGGAACTCATTTTAGATGAATATTGGAGCTGCATGGTCTCCTAATTTCTCTTTCATAATAAAAAAATCTACTACTTGCTTTGCTATAATCTTCATGCATACCTTAACATTGTCTTCCAGTTTATCAATTCTCTCTTTGACTCAATCCAATCTGGTGTTCGTATTATCAATATAACTATTTTTAAATCATGCTAATTTTTTTGTTTTTAAGATTTCTAGTATTTTTTTTACCATTAACTATTTTTACCTTTAAAGTAATTTCTTGTTCTTATTTTGCATATTATTTCCTTTTATCTATGTGATATTTATAAAAATATATTAAAGTCCTTTTTGGATTTTCTATAGTTTTTGTTTCATTTGAAATAAATCTATCTTTTATTTGCTAATAGTTATAAGCTGTCTTTCTCCTCATTAGTTTTCTTCGTGGTATTGGAATGTTGATTAAAA